GAGAGAGAGAGGAGAGGAGGGGAGGAGAGAGAGAGGAGAGGAGAGGAGAGAGGAGAGAGGAGAGAAGAGAGAGAGAGGAGAGAGAGAGGAGAGAGAGAGAGAGAGAGGAGAGAGAGAGAGAGAGAGAGAGAGAGAAGAGAGAGAGAGAGAGAGAGAGAGAGAGAGGAGAAGAGAGAGAGAAGGAAAGAAGAGAGAGAAGGAAGAGAGAGAGAGAGGAGAGAGAGAGAAGGAAGAGAGAGAGAGAGAGGAGAGAGAGAGAGAGAGAGAGAGAGAGAGAGAGAGAGAGAGAGAGAGAGAGAGAGAGAGAGAGAGAGAGAGGAGAGAGAGAGAGAGAGAGAGAGAGAGAGAGAGAGAGAGAGAGAGAGAGAGAGAGAGAGAGAGAGAGAGAGAGAGAGAGAGAGAGAGAGAGAGAATGAAATATGGGTATAGCGAAAGCAAGGCAAAATGAGAAGAAAATGAAGAGGAAGAAGAAAGATATGAAGGAAAAAGAGGAAGGATGCAAAGAGAAAAATGGAAAAGGAAGAACGACAAAATAAAAATAAAAAGAGGAAAGATGATAAAAGAATCAAGCAGAGGAACAAGAACAAAAGAAAAGATAAGAGGTAGATGGAAAGAGAGAGGCTGCGAAGGACACCCAGAGGGCAAAGGGCGCGAAGCTGAAGACATCACACGCCCATACAGAGCGAGGCTGGTCCTCACGTGCGTCGTTGCCTCCTGTTGCTATGGAAACCAGCACTTGGTTCGCCCATTACCTGTGCTTTGAAAATAAGTGCCTGACCTACCTATTTGTGCTTTGGAAATCTATACTTGGCCCACCTGTTAGCTAGGCTCTGGAAATCAGCGCTCAGTTCACCCAGTAGGTGTGCTATGGAAATAGGCACTCAATTCACCCGTTACCTGTGCTTACCGATAGATTACGTCATCGACTACATAAGGCAGGAGTGGAATCGTTGATAATTGCCTGGGAACTTGTGTCGAAAGAGAGAGGATGAGATAACAACACTTGGTGGATGGAAAGCAGGTAATTAAGAAATGGGTGTTAAGAAACTGGTGGAAAAGAAAGGATGTTTTCGTGATGATTATGGGAGAGAGTTATGCTGAAGAGCGAGGAGGAAAGGGGGGGGGGGTTATAGATAGATGGATATAGGAGGTTGATATATAATATATATATATATATATATATATATATATATATATATATATATATATATATATATATAATATATATATATATATACTAGACACATAGAGAGAGAGGAGAGAGGGAGAGAGAGAGAGAGAGAGAGAGAGAGAGAGAGAGAGAGAGAGAGAGAGAGAGAGAGAGAGAGAGAGAGAGAGAGAGGTGTATACAAGTAGAGGAGAGAAGACAAGGACAACTTGCTTCAACAAGGTCGATAAAAGAAGGAAGAGAGATAAAAACGAGGAAGGACATGACAAACCTTGAAGTTTATCATCATGCTCCATGTTTTATGAATCTTCAAGTTTTAGTCCTGATGGAGTATCATACAGGTTTTTTTTATTTCCTCATTTCTGTAAGCAAGAAAATTTATCCGAATCCTCTTACAAATTCAAATTCTTAAAAAAGAAGGCGAAAAAATATAAATAGAATAACCGTATCGTGATTTAGACCAATACCAGCTAACGGAAAAAATCGTATCCGCTGGCACTTTCGTCCCCAAAGGAGTAAAACTTGTCAGTTTCCGCTTTGGGGTTTTCAAGGGAACTACGATGGCGACTCGAGATTATGCAAGACTATTAGACGTGGGAGAAAAAAGATAATTAGATGTGGAATTATACAATATATGCATATATTAAAACAACGAGTGCACATACTTTACACGCGTACATTCAAACACACACATTCGCACAAGCACAAACACACACGCATTCACACAAACACACCCATTCGCACTAACACAAACACACACACACATTCGCATAGACACACACATTGTCGCGTGCGACACTAGTTTGCTTTCAAACACACACACGCGCATACACCAAACACTACACTTCGCCACATTCGCAAACACACACACACAGCACATTCAGACACAAACACGCACACTTCGACAACACACACACAAACACACACACACAAACACACACACACACACAAACCACGCACACATTCACAAACGCACACACACATTCACACAAACACACATTCACTAACACAAACACACACACACAGACAACACACACATTCGCACAGACACAACACGCCACATTCACACAAACGCACACACATTCACACAAACACACACACAAACACACACATTCAACAACACGCACACACACATTACACACATCGCACAACACAAACACACACATTTCGCACACATTCGCACAAACACAAACGCACACATTCACACAAACGCACACACACATTCACACAAACACACACATTCGCACTAACACAAACACACACACATTCGCACAGACACAAACACACACATTCGCACAGACACAAAACACGCACACATTCACAAACACCAAACGACATTCACACAAAACACACACATTTCGCACAAACAAACACGCAACATTCACAAACGCACACACACATTCACACAAACACACACACACTACGCACAAACACACACAACACACACAGCACATTCGCCCAAACCACAAACACATAAACACGCACACATTCACAACAAACCACACACACACATTCACACACAAACACACACATTCGCACAGACACAAACACGCACACATTCACACAAACGCACACACACATTCACATTCAAACAAACACACACCATTCGCACAGACACAAACACGCACACATTCGCACACAGCACACACATTCACACCACACGCAGCAACAACACGCACACACACATTCACACAAACACACACATTCGCACAAACACACAAACGCACACCACACATTCACACAAACGCACACACACATCACACAAACACACACACATTCGCACAGACACAACACGCACACATTCACACACAAACGCCACACACACATTCACACAAACACACACATTCGCACAGACACACACGCACACATTCACACAAACGCACACACACATTCACACAAACACACACATTCGCACAGACACAAAACACGCACAACATTCACACAAACGCCACACACATTCAACAAACACACACATTCGCACACACAAACACGCACACATTCACACAAACGCACACACACATTCACACAAACACACACATTCGCACAGACACAAACACGCACACATTCACACAAACGCACACACACATTCACACAAACACACACATTCGCACAGACACAAACACGCACACATTCACACAAACGCACACAATCTACCAAGCAACCTAACAAGCAAACGATCTCTTCACTACCTTTGTGAGCGCGTGTGACTGCGTTTGCGTGTGTCGAGGTGCGCGTGTATATATTTTTACACAGGCGAGGAATCATTTCTTGCGTAATAAGACAAAGAGCGGAAGTGACTCAAGGGTCTGTACAGTTGTGATGTATAACTGAAGTGATCACTCTCATGAGACAAACGTGATTCTGCACAAACGATACTCTTTGATCACGGTTATTCTCGCGGAAGAAATAAACTAAAACTATGTTGCTAAACATTCAGGAAGAAAAAAATAGAAACGGGAAAAAATTGTTATGATAGATGGAAGAAAATCAAGAGGGTGTGCTTCCTTCGAACTCAAAGAAAAATGTCTTTATGAGGAGTAATCTTGAACAAAGCGCACCAATTATAGTAAATCTTGCAAAATTCTGGTAACAATCACGGTCTAAATATCCTCACTTTTTTTCTCCTGAAGAATTAAAAAAAGAAGACAAAGAAGCAACGAGAATTAATAAAGATGACACTAACAATAATTCGCAATTCTTTTTGGTTTTAATTCTACACTGAAAAGACCACCTTTACTGCGCATTTCGTAAGCCACGCCCCCTTGTTCTCTTCTCACACCGGTTCCCTCAGTGTACAATAGGGCATCCGGGACACTGTGACCTCGTAATGCCGGCAGACCACGCCCATCATCCAACGTGCCCAGTCACCACTCATGCCCATTTATTTTCTTTTGCTTTTACATGATTAGGATGGAGTTTGTTTGTTATGTATGAGCCTTCAGGCTAGTACAGTGGTAACGTGCCGTCCTCTCATCCGAGGGGTCGGCGGTTCGCGCCCCGCCCAGGCGCGAGAAGTTGCAATTGTCGCTCGGAGGTTACTGCTGTGGCTGGGCACCGCGGTGGGTAAGGACTAAGCTCTGTCGCGTCAGCACTCGCTGACACACGTTGATCGAGTCGACATTAGTCGGCACAGGCCGGGCTCCCCCATAGCCCGGGCGAGGCTCAGCTTCGCATATCGGACTTATCCTTATCCTTGTTATGTATTTTCATATTTTTGATTTATGGAACTAATGTTTAGGACCCTTCTTCCTATTCTTAATCTGCAGTTATTATTTTCGTGCGTTTATGTTTATCTGTGCTTATTGCTCTTGATATTAATTACTATTGTCCGTCTACTGCTTTTATTGCTACTATTACTACTACTGCTACCACCACTACTACTACTACAACTACGATTACTACTATTACTATTACGATTACTACTACTACTACTAATACGATTACTACTACTACTATTGCTACAACGACTACTACTACTACTACGATTATTACTACTATTATTACTACTACTGCTACTACTACTACTGCGACTGCTACTACTATTACGATTATTACTGCTAATATTACTACTATGACTACTACTACTACGATTATTACTACTACTACTACTTCTACTGCTGCTGCTACTACTGTTCCTACAATAACTACTCATCTTACTCCTAGTCCTTTTACTCCCCTTCCAACTCCATTGCTACTGCTATTACTACAGCAACTACTACTACTACTACTACACCACAACTACCGCGGTCACTGCCACCACCTCAACCATTATGGCCCCAAAACCGCTTTCATCACCACAAGCTCACCACTCAAGAACCCCTTCCTTCCCCAGGCATACCGGAAGGACAAGAGCAAGATGGTGCAGGTGGCGCGTATGGTGTGCATCACCGTCCTGGCAGCCGCCTTCCTCATCGGCTTCTTCACCGTCACCTCTCAGTGGATCAACAACAGGACCTGCGACTGCGAAAAGGTGGGCGCGGGAGTGAGTCGCTTCCGTTGGATTGCTGCGTGTGTGTGTCTGGTGTTGCGGATTCTTGCTGCGCGGGGATTTTGAAGTGGGATGGCCCGTGTACATGTCTTTTTATATTTATTCGTATATGCATCGATGAGCGTATGTGTGTGTGTGTGTGTGTGTGTGTGTGTGTGCATACATACACATACTCATATATATTCATGCATACATACACGCATGCACGTACACAGATATGTGTATGTATGTATG